ACAAAGGTAATTCCCGCTGCGTTTCGCACGGAATTCGTAGGCAGGAGAAAGTATGTAACAGTAAAAGTCAATGATATTCCAGTCACCTTGCAACTAGATACGGCGTCCGGCATCACTAACATTTCGTTATCGACATGGAGGAAGCTTGAGAAACCGTCATTCGAACGCACAATTCTGACGGTTCAGAATGCATCAGGGGAACCCCTGAGATTGGATGGAGAGATTGAATGTGAGGTCAACATAAAGGAACAGCAACTCCATGGCATGATCTACCTAGTCTCATGCACCGACGTTACTCTTCTTGGAATCGATTGGATTGAGAAGCTGAAGTTGATCAATGTACCACTGAATCGTGTCTGTGGTGAAAGGAATGCCACGGTGCACCATACAGCCATACCGACTCCTCCGGGTTAAAACATCTCTGAACAGCTTTAAACGAAGTATGCGTGCGTCTTCCACTCTGAACTTGGACACTGTAAGAAAATGCAGGCAAAACTTACTCTGCTTCCGGATGCCAGACCAGTGTTTCGACCCAGGCGTCCTGTGCCTTATGCTTCCCAAGCACTTGTTGAACAGGAGTTTGATCGATTGCAGCAGGCAGGAATGATCGAGCGAGTCAATTTCTCACCCTGGGCTGCGCCTATTGTTGTGATCAGGAAACCGAACGGTTATACTCGTTTGTGTGCAGATTTTTCAACGGGCCTGAATGCTGCACTGGAACGCCATCAGTATCCGCTTCCACTTCCTGAGAACGTGTTGGCAAAGCTGAACAGGGGCAAGTATTTTGCTACTCTTGATCTTGCAGATGCCTATTTACAGTTAGAAGTTGAACCCTAAAGCAGAAAGCTTCTAACAATCAACACGCATCGCGGTCTCTACCAGTACAACCGTTTGCCATTTGGAGTCAAAACGGCACCGGGAATCTTTCAGCAAGTCATGGATGCCATGCTGACGAGTGTAACTGGAGTTGCAGTCTACCTGGGTGACATCATCATAATGGCCTCGACGCAAGATGAATTATTTCAACAACTGAATGACGTACTGTAGGGTATCAAAGATTATAGTTTCCGATTACGAGCGGACAAGTGCAGATTTTTTCTGAAGGCAATTAAGTTCCTGGGTTTCGTGATTAACGAGAACGGCCGACGACCTGATCCCGAAAATATCGAGGTGATAGACCGGTTATCAGCGCCATCGGATGTCACAATCTTACGGTCATTCCTTGGGATGGTGAGACACTGTAGTGAATTTCTGCCATGTATGCATCGCTTGCGTCATCCTCTAAACCACCTGCTGATGAAAGACGTCGAATAGAAATGGTCTACACATTGTCAACACTCGTTCGAGTAACTGAAATCTCTGCTGAACTCGGACTTATTGCTTACGCATTATAGTCGAAAGCTGGAAATTATCATGCGCACGGATGGTTCAAGCTGTGGGATTGGTGCTGTCATTTCACATCGTTTCCCAAATGGATCCGAAAAGATTATAGCACGTGTTGCACGAGTGCTGACAACATCCGAGAAGGATTATAGTCAGATTGAGGAAAAAGTGTTGGTTATCATCTTTGCCATGCAGAAGTTCCATAAGATGGTATATGGTCGACGGTTCACCTTGGTGACTGATCACAAACCGTTTCTGTCAATTTTTGGATCCAAACAAAGCATTCCGGCATATACGGCCAGTGGACTTCAGCGACGGGCAACTGTGCTTTTGGGATATGATTTTAGCATGCGATACTTGTCCACTCATTCTATAGGGCAAGACGCCCTTTGTCTGAAGTTGATTCTTGCCTGTTTTTTTCAGATCGCATTGTCATTCCAGAAGTACTCAGATCACGCGTGTTACGGCAACTGCACAAGGGACATCCAGGAATCGCTCGCATGAACGCGCTTGGGCGCAGCTACGTCTATTGACCCATGATGGATAGCCAAATTGAAGACATTGGCCGATCGTGCTCTAGATGCATCAGTGCCTCCAATTTACCGGTATGCGCGCCATTACAATCTTGGCCAAACCCGGAATCGCCCTGGTCGCGGATACACATGGGTTTCGCAGGAGTAGTCCAAGGGGTGCATTTCCTCGTTATTGTTGACGCCTATAGTAAGTGGCCGGAGGTAATCGCTATGCAAAACACGTCGGTAAACAGTACAATCTTTGCCATGAGACATATTTTCAGTCAGCACAGATTACCACTAACAGTCGTGTCCGGATAACGGGTCACAGTTTACGTCCTGCCAATTTGCTGAATTTTGCGCACATAATGGAATCGAGCATGTGAGGACCGCCCCGTATCACCCGCAGTCAAATGGCCAAGCGGCAAGATTTGTTGATACTCCAAAACGAGCATTGTGCAAGTCAACAGAGGAGGGATCGCTGAACGAAAGATTGGAATATTTCCTGTTGAACTATCGAGTTACTCCGAATTCTAATTCACCAGATGGGAAATCACCAGCTGCATCACTTATGGGTCGAAGATTGAGAACCAGGTAGCTTTACTGACTCCCAAGCGTCCGCCTCTACAACCAAGAAGTTCAGTGATGGAGCGCTAATACAGCAGGTGCTATGGGGCCCGAAAAAGGATTTTCAAAGTGGGCGATTTTGTGTTTGCGGCTGCTGACCAGGGACGGCGGATTGCTTGGTTGCCAGGACGAGTCGTGCGACGCCGAGGCAAGGTGATGTATGATGTTCAAGTTGGTACACAGACATGGAGACGCCACGTAAACCAGTTGAGGTCACGGTATACACATGGTGCGGTCGTTCCGAAACCCAAGGGATTTGACGTCAATGAATTGCTGGACAATGGCAAGCCTAGTACCTCCGCAGGTGTCGACGTTCGTCCAGTGGAATGCATGGCAAATGGAGCCCGGTACAGGCTAAAGCATACAAAATGTTTTGTGCAGTCGCTCCAGGTGGATCCGCGTCGGAAGTGTTATGTGAACTCCAGGTAACTCGTTTTTAATAGAAGGAGGAACTAAGAGAATAGCTATTAGACATTCACTTTATGTGAACGAGCTTAATAGCTATTCTTATTCTTCCTATTTTCCACTAATTGTCTGTTGTTTGAACGCTCCACTGTGTTAGCCCGGTTGGTGCACACACGTCATTTCATGTATACAAGTCTTTTTCTGGCTCGTCTTCGGATTTTTTCTTGCGGTCGTGGGGCGAAGGCGTCAGTGGCGACACAACAGTATTTTATTTGCTGTCATTTCAAAAGATTGGCTGTTGTTTGATATCCCCGGTGTGGCTGCGCTTGATGTACATGTTGACCAGGTGCCTACCTGTCTATCACCCACTGCCTCGTTCATGCTTGCTCTAGGAGACCGTTGGTTGTTGCTGTAGGGGACGGGTTCACGGTCCTTGTGGCGGTGCTGGGATCAAAGAGTGTTTCCATGCACTCAGTGTGGAGCTGACTACGATCCAGCCACCCGCCTTGTATGCACTGGATTCCCCAAATATAACATGCCTGGGTTTACGTGTGAAAGAGTGTGGGCAGGCTGCGTTGATGAAACGTGGCTCCCATCCACATGCCTCCCGGTCTTATTCCTTCGGGTTTACACTTTATATGAGGTGTGTATATGGAGCTGTAGGTGGTGCAGCGCAAGCCACCCATGGTCCCTCTGTAGGCGCAGGCGTCCTGAGTCTGGCCACAGTGACAGGATGCCGCCAGCCATATCGAATCACATGAGCGCTGAGTCAAAATCACCAATCAATAGGTATTGCAATCGGCCAATTGCCGACCGTACCCACACGTACACTCGCACGCGACAAGCGTTTGGCGCAGTGTATCAGTGGCGTAAATTGGTCGATTGGTGAGGAAGCTACCTGTCCTCTGCACATCAGTCACTTGCAACTCATTGGATGAAGAACGGCGCTATACCGCATCCATCAACCTAGTCATCTTGGTCATTACCGCCCCCCCATAGCTGGGTGGTCTTAATCACAGACTGGTAACAGTCAAGTTGCGGCTTCAAGCCCTAAATGGGTCTAAAGGATTGCGCACTGCTAACGAGTACCGAAAGGCTGAAACGGCCACATAGTACTTTTAAGGGTGTGTGATGGCTGGCTGACCGAGCCGAGATGTGATGAATTTCTGCTTATGCTATTCAAATCCGCATACTCCCCCTCGTAATAAGATTGGCTTTGTATTTCTCAACTTGTCATCGTCGTGAAGTTGCGATTGGCAATGTGTTTGACTGCGAATAGGTGCATCTTACGTAATCGAGATCAGGCCAAACTAGCTGGTTGCCTTAGTTTTTCCCGTGCTTGCAGCACTATACAATAAACCCTACTTGACATCGCTTTATAAAATACCGAAGGCTCAGATTCCTGAATACCTCCACCGGTTTCCCCTATGACAGCTAACCGTCATGGAGTGCTTGATTCCTAAGGAAGTTGTGCTTCTGTTCATCCCACGAATCGCCTCAACCACTTCGAGGAATGTACAGCCAGTCCTCTAACCAGTCGACGATTAGATCTGTCTACCTTAACATGAGTGGCCGAAGTGGCTGCTGAACATGTTGGGTTTCGGTAAATGCGCCCGGACCCGTCGTCGACATGCTCATGTTCACAAAAGCACTTTCCCTAGTCCTTGTCAGTAATTCACATGCCACTGGGAAGTTTTGTTTCATCCTTGGAAACCCAATTTTCACTCTTACAGGCATCCGTCACAATGAACACTTGTTCAGTGTCCTTCACTGTGTTCGAATCCTCGTAGGGGAGGGCGTCCTCGCGGTTTACTCAGCCCACTCGTTACTGGTGCTGGTAGCATGGCAGCAAAGTGCTGTTATGGCGTACAGCTGGCGATTTATTTTTTACGTGTACCCCGCTACTACTGATGCTCAAGTAGAACTCAGTGCTGTCGTTGTCTTTCACCAATTCATTTCACTTCTGTAACTACTCATCACATTCATGTCCGTCATCCTCTCATCGGCACACCCGCCTTCCGCTGTTAGTCGTCTTTGCATATTTTTCCCATCTCCCTTTTCGCTTTTTAAAAGGACGTGAACTGGAAGTGATCGATCATCCTCCGCAGTCGAAACTAACTCGTCTCCGCCAGGCCAGCATACCCTCTTCGTATATGCCCGTGATCGATGCCGACAAACTGTACGCTGGATTACAGCCGATCGGATGGCGAAGTCGCCCTCCTAGAATCACACGGGGTGGACGGGGCGCAGCATCTCCGGATGCCACTCAGGGAACAGAAGAGTTCACTATCAGTTCTGATGGGGAGGCGACGACAGCAGGGAAGAGACAGACGGCAGCCAAATCTACGAAGGCACGTGTCAGCAACGGTGTACCACCTAGCAGAACAGTGGACAAGCTGAAGTTGCGATTGAACCAGATCAAGGTAAAGTTAATTCAACAGCAGGACTCGAAGCTGAATATCTATGTATCCCAAGGCTACGCGGCGCATAACACTTCTGCTTCTGCTCCAACCATCTTGCTGATTGGGATCAAAATGTGTGCCCAGAAGTATCCAGCTTGCTTCTGCTTTTTTTACAAATGTTGTGCTGGAGTTTCCGATCATTGCAGTTGCGGGAGTTTTTCTTAGTATTTTAGTAGAACGTTGGCTGACTTTTATAGCCTTGTTTCTCGGGGGAGAACACGTACGCATGTCCATATGGTACAATTATCTTTCAACTAGTCTAGTATTCTTAAGTACTGCATATTTTACTGCTCTAGAATTTTCCTATTCAACGACCTCTGGCAGTCTCTGATGCGTCATGCATTCCTGCCCTGTTCATGACATCTCTCCCGAATAATTCACCTCTATGAATACTTGTTGGTCGTTTTGGCAACTAAGTACTGTAAAGCTAACAATGCTCATGTCGATCCTTGAAACTATATTTGAACATAAAATGCGGTCCTAATCGGACTTGTGTGTTTCTGTTCAAATTTGCGGCAACTACTCCTCAATCTACTGACAAAGTCTTAAACGTCGTAAACCCGATAATTGAAGTACAACTCTTCTCGGTACGCAATGGGAGCTCGTTCATAACGCTCACTTGAGCCAATGTAACTCATTTGTTATTATTTTTTAATGGATCACAACAAAATCACCCCTAAGTTCAACCTTGTTATTCCCCCAGTCGATCATGTGCCTCAGATCTCACTCCTCCGTGTGTGCTAATTGATAGTCCCGGAGTTTGACGAAATTGCATACTTCTTCAATCAACCTCGAGCTACACTCGGTTACATCTAGCTTTACGGTGTCTCCCTTATTTCGTCCTTCCCCCCTCCCCAATTAACTCAGCTCCCGGACATTCGTATAAAAATTCCGCGGCGCACATCCACCTTGAACCAGCCAAGCACAACTCCCACACGTGGCACATCGACATCCTCCGGTGTGGACGGAATGGGTTCCCTCGTTGGACATTTCTTATTGGATTTCGCCACCACTGTTCGCGATGCCGGTCTGCAACATACAGACACCTATAATTGCCCTACTCAGAGCCTTCACACTGTGGCGGATAACGAACTTGTATCAAGGGAAAGTACGGCGGTTCCTGAAGAAGAACTGGCAGCTGTTCCAGATTCAGGTGAGCTTGAACTTCCTCCCGTCGTTGACTTCCCAGACTCCGCCTTTTCACAGGTGTCGGGCGAACGGCAAATTCCCTGTTGCCCTATGTCACAGTTCTTGATTGCATATTTTTGTTTTGTTGTATTCATTCTCTTGTATTTGTTTTAACGCGTTATTCTGTTTATTGTGCTCGGCGCTTGGGGGTCACTGTATGCAGATGCTGGTCAGTTTTCTTCTGATGCCCAACACTATTTCTAGCCTCCTAGTCGTTCGGTATGGATGATGTATATAGGCCTTCATCTTTGATCTTGTTTGAAAAGACTCGCCCATGTGTAGCGACAACACCGGGTGAGCAATGATGTCAGCTACCGCATCTTGGACATAGCGGATCCTCCCTTCTGTAAGCTCGTTTTCCTGTGCCAATTAAGGTGGTTTGATCACGTCCTGCGAATACGTAGCGGACGTTTACGACACCGCGCCCTGTTCTCAAACGCAAAGCTTCATTGGAAAAGGCTGTGTGGGAGCCAAACGAGCACTTGGCAACAAAGCATCTAATCACTGACATGTTGCTGTCATAACTTAAAAAATCTCCCTAGTAGAGGACCCAAAGATGAAGAATACCAACACAGCTTGCAACGCTCGAAGCAATGGGCACGACTTTGCTTGAACTCGCGTTTAAAAGAGGGTAAATGTTTAAACGACAACCAGAAAGTACCAAGTGGCGTGTGGAAAAATATAGATGCTCTTGTTTGCTTCATTCTTGACTTTTACAACTTAAAGCATTGAGTCCCTCGCATCAATTTGGGCAACCCAATGAGAGTACTTCAAGATGGTACCGTTTCGTGTTATCTGATCACTTGTACACTAAAGTCATATATAAGTCACGTGTAAGAAGAAACGGATTGTTTTTGACCCAGATCAAAGCGACCATTTCCTTCTCACGTGACCTAGATATGTTGTTAGTGTGCAAGTGACCACGTCCATTCTCTGGAGTAATATGTCGGCTGTGGGAACTGCCTGCATCCGCTTTATTGATTCCCATCTTGATCTCTTCCTATTGGCTTGCTCAGTCGCATGTTCCCTTGCTGTGGCTGGCCCTGACAGCTACGCCGCTTCGAGCAACTTAGCTTTAGCTGATTGTCTCAATGCAGTTTTCCAGCTCAGAGAATTCATTTTCCTCTTTATCTCTAAACCGTTTGGAGGCATATCCCAGAGTTGACACAACGGTCTTCATTACGGTCTAGAGTGTACAGCGTTGGGTTTTAATGAGCATCTAGCCTAAACTACGTCAGCCCGGGGTTTGGTCTGTTCTATAGTTCACTCAACCCGTGTTTTGGTAGGATTCACAGGATAGTGCTCGCTTTTATCAAATGGCATACTGCTGCTGCTGCTGTACGGTCGTTGGTTAGGAACACACCATGCTGTTGCCTCCGACTTCTTTTGATCAGGTCATTACGTTGACTCTCGCTTCTGCTGCATACACCATGTCTAGTGAAGACCGTGCATATGGCTTGATCTACACTTCTTTGTTGCTTTGTCGCTGACGATTACTAAAGAGCGAAGTAGTTTTCTTTTCACTATTTGTTTGTCTTAAATGAAGTGGATCATCTCTTGTCCTCCATTCGGCATACTTCCCTACACATTCAGGTGATCTCGTCGAGAGCAGACTTTTTCCGATCGGCGGCGACGACGATTGGGGTCTTGAGAGTGACGTGGGAGCAATAGGTGGAGTCGAAGAGGACGATGAGGAGGAGGATCCGTTGGATGATGCTGACGACGAAGAGGACGATGACAAAGAGTTACGTCTCATGGACAGAGATGGATTACTAGCCGCTTGTGGTTTGGATCGACATTCTTTTGCAACAGATATCTTCCAGCCAACCATATCCTCCGAAACATGTTCCACGAGCAAGCCACTCAGTGAGGTGCCCAACAGGATAACGGTGGAGGAGCTCGCGAACACAGTGACGCGGACAAAAGCCAACTTGAAGCGACACTGGTCCTATACCACAGCTGAATCCAGGCTTCTCCGCCAACAGGTCCGGCAAGTGCATTTCTTTCCATCGCAAAGTGTCATTTTCCCTCCTGATTTGATTTACTTTTTGTTATGCAACGCCATTTCAACATGAAACTTGTCAACACAACTGATTTGCTTCCAGTTGTATGTCTAGCGTTATTCTCTGTGGTCTACGAATAGACCGCCTCAGGTTCATCGATTAGATTTTCTGAGAATATCACTCGGCTTATCAGCTGCGATACAAGATTTCAGGTATGGTTGTTTGGAGCTGTTGCGTTGCATCCTCCCATGATAATAGGTATATTGATGACATTGCTCCGGCCAAACGAATGACATGAACGAGCCTTTCTGACAATATACTAGACCTGTTGAGCGCGGCTGATTGAAATGCGAACATTTTAAATTAAGCGACTGTATGCAATAACACCACTAACTACTGGAAGACGGTAAATGTCTGCGTCACGCAGATACACTCTTGAAAGAAAAGTCATCTCACCTGGTGGCCACTTAGCTGACAGATGCGGAAGGTGAGATTTAACTTACAACCGCTGCGTCAATCACTGCTCGCGGACCTCATTGGTCTAGGGATGATGGCGATAGCCGCTAACCACTACGTGCCGAGTTACACTCCCAAGTCATGGTATCTCTGCCTGATGAGTCCAACTAAGAATGAACCGCGTCATGGAGTTTAGTGGTTGGAGTTTTGTCGAACTTATTCGACAAAAGTCGCAAACCATGTTCATTGCTATCCTCTCCACCGGCCCCGATTATTTACTTCCATACATGACCATAATGATCTCACTAATGGGGAACAACAAGAACAGAAAGATGGACCTAGTTTAAAATCTAAATGTCCTAACTATTCGAACGCCTACATCTTGACAACAACGCACGGCACAAACAACTGGCTATCGTGTGAAAAGACAGTCTGCTTGCAGTTCATACTACCTCGGATCCTAATACTTATTACCCCGAAAACTGTAAAATTCACGTTTCAGGTGTGCCGTGTCCGAGTAGGAAAAGATAGCGAGCACACCACTGGCAACAGTTGTCTTGTAAGACCTCAAGCTAAGCACAGACTGCGTCTTGTCACCCTAGGCTGGAACAATGAATTTATACGGACTAAGAAGCGCTGCTTTACAAGTACCGTTGGATACTTGGTGAGAAGATCGAAATAATAATAATAATGGTATAATACAAGTGAAATGGTTAGTATTTTAAAAATGAAAATAAAGTTTTATCCTTCGCTCTGCTGTAGGTCTGCAATCCGCGTGGATTCACAGCACACACATGAAATAAATCCATGGTACACTCCAGTAGTAGGATGAAGACGTAGCACTAAGTGACAAAGTGTAATTGGATGAGTGCGTCATCCAACCGTCTTTTAATTACTGTTTGTGTTGGTGCAGAGACGACCGATTCAGGGAGAGCATTCCACGGTCAACAGACAGAAATTGAAAGGAAATTCATGCGGCACTGCAAATGGCTATACTGTTCTGCGAGTTTCAATAAGTTGCCCGTCAGGTTTGTATTGCTACTGTTGCAGTACAGGGCGGCACACATGATGTGAGTCTTATAGAATCAAGTATGCCGCAATCAGATGTCATCGTAATTTGCGATGCTGTCTGCTAAATATCCCCCATCGTTTCAGCCTCTCGTACGAAAGATTGCGCATTCCAACTACGTCCTTAGAAGCCCGACGTTGTGGCTGCTCCAGTGCGTTAAGGTCGTGTAGAAACCATAGATGCCAGGCCTGAATTGTGTATTTGACATGGAGACGAACATACGTACTGAGTATTTATTAAAAAATAGGGCTGTCTATTTGTCTTAACACCCGTCGCAACAGCCCAACGTGTTGGTTTCCAGTCTTCCAGAACTTTTCCGACTGCTTGGAGCAGCTCAAGTCATCTTGAACCGGCACATCCAAGTCACGTTTGACAGTTGATTGTTGCAGTACATTCGTTCCGAGCCGGAATGAGTAGCTGCTGTGATGTCGGATTGAAAGTACCTTGCATTTACTCACGTTGAAATGCAACAAACTTTGGGTGCACTATTGATATACCCTGTCTAGGTCACTCTGAAACAGATGCCGGTCGGCGTTCACAAGAATCCTGCGTCAACTCTTGATATCCTCGGCGAACATTAGGAATTTTGAAGCGACTGCCTGTGCGAGATCATTACTAAACACCGAAAACAGACGTGAACCTAAAACGGAGCCTTGCATCACATCACACTCGACTTGTAAGGGTCCGATAAAGAGCTCCGAACTCTAATCACTAATTACCGTTGAAGTATAAAGTTGTCAATCCAACTTAAAAGAGTGTCACCGATCCCGCAATGCTGCAGCTTGGAAAGTAGTATCCGATGGTCTGGACGACGGCAACCCTTCGGAAAACCCAGCTAGATCACCTCTACGCCTTCTCCAGCGTCAACTGACTCGGTCCAACTACTACGTGCGGCTAGTAAATTCGTTGTGCATGACCGCTGTCGGCGTTAGCCGTGCTGCTCAGACGTGATGATATTACAGTTTTCCGGATAAGTCACCAGCACATCGGCAACTATGGATTCCATGACCTTGTTGAGTATAGAAAGAAGGGATACTGGGCGGTCGTTGGAAGGCCCAGTTCTGCTTCCACCTTTATGAATCAGGGTTATTTCAAGCTTCCACACAGCGGGAACTTGCTTCTGACCTAAACATCGCTGGAAAACCTGAGCTAAAGGTCTTGCCATTTGGTTTTCTTCTGCCCCCAGTGACTCTGGACGAATGGTATCGACACCGAGGAGCTGCGTTTGCGTAGAGACAGCTTTTGCAATACAGCCTCCGGGGTAAAAGTGATGTGGGTTAGTCCTGACGAGAGACGGTAAAGGCTGAAAGATCGCTTGATGAGAAGACCCTCTGAAACATGAGGGCATATTGCATCCGCAGCGCGTTTGCTGCTTCCACAGCTGTTCTTGTTGGGCCACCGGCCGTCCTGAGTGGAGTAAATTCTTGCCTCACCTTCCGTCGACTATTGACGTGTGGTTAGCACTGAATGTATTTGCGAGGTTCCGCTGATATACGGTTTTGTCTTCTCTGAGCAGTTGAGTTCAGTGGTTACGTTGAGCTACATAGTTGTCCTAAGTTGCTGCTGTACACGCCATGCTGCGTTGCGTAGTGTCATCCTGTAACGAAGACGGAACGAAGACTACGGTGGTACACTCTAGCAGGCTGCAGCCTAAGAACGTGACACGATTTCGAGACGTCTGTTTGTATGACACGAGTTGATACCCGACCGACGATAGCACTGCTGAGTTACGCCGGAAGCTGATGAAATCAGACCACCATCATCACACGGATTGCTACGTGACAGGGCGCGACAACAGCTGGCCAGTGCGGACCGCAAGCCGGTTTGAATTCTGTTTTATGGCAAGTTGCTTGAGTCAGCCCAGGAAGTTACAACAGGAGATGATAGCTTGTGAGCTATAAAATGAGCCCTGTTATGTGTCTATTACACTTCATTCTAGCAGCCTTCGGTGTTTTGTTTTATCTCAGGCTGGGCTGGTGTGGCAGAGAGCAGAGGGAGGGCGGCGTTACAATACATCTATTTTCGAGTTCTGCTCTTAACAAATTAAACTGATTTAGACTTATTGAAAACTCTTATCTCTTAAGAATCTGCAATCAGCTGACCGAATTTGTTGACGAGCTCGAGTCCGGCAACTTCCGGGGGTTCTTCGGTTTGTAACGACTCGGATGTATCGCCGACGAGCTGGGCTCCTTGATCGTAGCTTGTGCTGCTTCGCACATTCTCTTTGTTCTCATTCCCATATTCCGCATTGCAGTCGAAGTTGAAACCGCTGACTGTGTGATCACTGCGATCCAACAGGTAGTTTACAGCCAACACATCAATCATATGCTCTTCGTTGGTAAGCACACGATTCAGCACGGATGGCCTGTTACCTGTTTTGAACCGAGTGGTCAGTGTGATGTGATTGTAAAGGGAAATAGTGGTTACGAGATCTTGTAGATCGGCTTTGAATTGTTTTCCGATCGTGGCAGGAGTTTCTAAACAATGTACGTTGAAATCACACATGATAAGGATGTGAGTGTATCTTCCTTTTAGGGTGCATCTTAAATCGACCGCAAGGTGGCAGTCGGTGTCGGTTGTAGAGTTAGGGGCACGGTACACCACACAATAAGGCAAGCGTCTCTGCCTTTTAACTGCGAGCGGCACCAAAGCGAGTCGAGGAACGAGTCCGAATCCTCCACGGCTTCTCACTGTAAGCCGTTTTAGTAATACAGAATTACCCTTTCTCCTTTTGTATGTCTATCGTTCCCGATAACCGACATGCAGGGTAGCGAAAGTTCAGCCTCCGTCATTCCTGTGTGCAACCACGTCTCAGTGATACCGATGACCCGGAAGCGTGGAGATCTTTCATTTCAGTCAGTTTATTAAGAAGCAGGCCAGTTTGTCGGTCTCTAGGAGTCCACAGAGAGCTAGAGGGGTCAAGTGTGGGAGAACACCGACCGATGGGAGGTCAGCAGTTACTCGTTTTTTGATAGGATAATGCTACCTCGTCTAAAACTTGATTCGGCCAAGGTGCGTTCCAATCTCCCTTTAGACCTACGTCAGAGTCAAGTACAGCATCAGTAGAGTTAACCTCCTGTATCATCGTCGCTACGTTTGCTGCTTCAGTTGCTTTGATATTTGAACTTTGTAAATCTTCTGCGACCTTAAACCGAAGTTCGGAAGAATGCATTTTCCGATTTCCCCGCCATCGACCCAAAACATCCGTTGCTTTTTGCTCTGACTAAGCCACAAGTTTTAGGATTCTAGGGCCGCATCCTCTATAATTTGGTGTAAGAGGTGGCCTGGTGAGCGATATCGCCACAATATTATCCAAAGAAGTTGTTTCACGAATGAACCGCCACTGTTCTAACTCGTGCTTTCCGACCTCTTGAACATCGTTAGAAGGACGCTGTGACACGCCATGTATGAAGCCTGTGTTTACGCCATCTTGCTGTGTCCTTCAGTGTTTCTTTTT